ATTTATATTTTAAGTAAAAAATTTTATATCTCATATCTTAGATAACAATTTTTCGTCAATGCATCCGCATATTTACATTATAATTTCAAAAGTAGAAAGACTTATTTAAAAATCTTTATTATTTTTAAAAGACATAAACTAAAACTATAACTATATCTTTTATTTTACTTTTATATTATATTTTATGAAAAACATAATAAACTTTTCTTTTACAGATGTATATCAAATATATGCGTAGCCGATAGAGCTTTGTGCTGGTATATTCCTGACGAATGGACATTGGAGGACGCTGCGACAGTCCCATGCGCTTATGGCACATGTTATTACGGATTATATGTAAAGACAAAGATGAAGAAAGGCGACAAGATATTAATTCATTCGGGTACTGGCGCAGTAGGTCAAGCGGCAATTAATCTAGCGCTCCACGAAGGTTGCGAAGTATTCACCACCGTCGGCACTCCGGAAAAGCGAAAGTTTATAAGAGAGACTTTTCCATCTATTCCAGAGGATCATATCGGAAATTCGCGCGACACCAGTTTCGAGCAAATGATATTTCGACAGACCGAGGGTCGCGGTGTAGATCTCGTATTGAACTCATTAGCTGAAGATAAACTTCAGGCTTCTATTCGTTGTCTTGCGAGAGGAGGGCGTTTCTTGGAAATTGGAAAATTGTATTAAAAGACGGCGGTTTCTTACTAACAAGAGGACAACCGCTCTCAAGAAATGATTTTACAAATGCAGAGAGACACGATTTAGCAATAGTCCTTGAGAAACGCACGGAAAAGGAACATATTGTACTCTTAAAGAAAAAAGACAGAACGAGGAGAAAGGCAGAAGTTATTTTTGTGAACAATCACGAATTTTCTTGGTTAGAACAACTAACATCGATCTTAAACGACGAGAATAATATCGCGAGAATAATTTTAGTGGGGCAAGAAGATTCGGAATGCGGTTTATTAGGTCTCATAAATTGTTTGAGGAGAGAACCAGGTGGAGAATTAATAAGAGGTGTGTTGATTCAAGACGAGACAGCACCTAAATTTTCTTTAGACAAGCCGTTGTACGCGGAGCAACTCCAGATCGATCTCATCATAAATGTTTTGCGTCCGGGAATGATATGGGGATCATACAAACATCTTCCATTAGCACCTTTAGCGCCAAAACTCTCATATCATGCTTTAGTCAATCAAATGGTATGTATCAGACTTTTGTATAAAAAATAAGTTTTCTTTTGTCTAATAATTTTTCTACAATAATGTGTATTATTGTTAGATTCGCGGTGATTTGAATTCATTTTGCTGGATTGAAGGCCCGATTGTTTCGGATTATCAGCACAAAGATCTTGTTCGCATAGTTTATGCGTCCATCAATTTCAAAGATGTAATGATAGCGACTGGCAAGATCATCATGGATGAATAACATATCGAAAGCGTCAAAAAATTAAAGCTAGATTTAACAGATGATAACACAACATCTGTTAAAGATATTTATACCAGATCATAGAACTAGCACAATAAGATTTTATATAGTGTGAGACACACACACGCGCACATATATTCGATAAAAAAGAAATTGTAAATGGGTAAACTGAAGATTATATTTTTCCTCCCCCTATACTTATGGAAGTCTTACGGAGTAAAAATATTGATCTTATCGAACCTTGACGCGTCAAACGTCAATGATTGCGAACATATATTGAAAACAGCGGAAAAGCTGGCGCCTGTAGATGCTGTATTTAATCTTGCTGTGGTGTTGAACGATAAGATCTGCCAGAATCATACTGTAGAAACATTTCAAGAGCCATTTAAAGCAAAAACTTTGGCGACGAAGAACTTGGATCGATTGTCTAGAAAGATATGTCTCCAGCTTCGACATTTTGTTGTGTTCTCTTCAGTTTCCTGCGGTAGAGGCAATGCCGGACAGAGCAATTACGGCATGGCAAACTCTGTTATGGAAAGAATTTGTGAGAGAAGAGTGCAAGAAGGTTTACACGGACTGGCGGTTCAGTGGGGCGCAGTAGGCGATGTCGGCCTCGTGGCCGACATGCAAGACGACGATAGGGAAATGGTTATTGGCGGAACTTTGCAACAAAAGATAAGCTCCTGCATCGAGAAACTCGAAGAATTTTTGTTACAAAAACATCCCGTAGTGGGGAGTATGGTTGTAGCTGAGAAGCGTTCGGACGCTTTTGGCGCAAACAATATTGTTGAAACCGTGGCCAATATTATGGGTAAGTTAGTATAGCATAAAAAATTAAGCAATTTAATTATGTGTAATAAAGAGAATTAATTAAGTATAATAAAGCGAATAAAAATATTGTATAACAATATAGGCTTGAAGGATTTGAATAACGTGGCTCGCTACACATCTTTGCCCGAGCTCGGCATGGATTCGATGATGGCTGTGGAAATTAAACAGACTTTGGAACGGGAATTTGATGTTTACCTTACAACGCAGGATATTCGTTATCTCAATTTTGCCAAACTTATAGAAATGTTTGACGAAAATACTTCGAACGATAAAAGCGTTCGAGATGTGAACGAATTAAATGGCATTAAATTGCTCGTTCGTTTGATAGGTAATGATCATCTAATACCCGATGTGTGTATGGATTTGCCAACAAAAAGGAATATGACGAGAAGCGAAATATTTCTATTGCCAGGAATGGAAGGTTGTGGAAATATATTCGATTCGTTGGTACAACATATTGAAGCTCCAGTAACGTGCTTACAACATGGAGCATATCATATCGGCACGAATTCTACTTCAATAAACGAGATCGCAGATCGTCTTTTAAAAGTATAAATCTTATATTTAATTACGATTATAGTATCTCATAGAACATTAGAATAACAGAGTAAAATTAATATAGTATTATTTTATTCAACGTGTTTTACTATATTTTATAATTTTGTATTTGTTTGTAGCATATTTTGAGCAAAAAGAAATTGAATCAGGATTTTGTAATAGTGGGTTATTCAATGGGATCTTTGATCGCAATTGAGTTAGTGCGAAAGTTAGAAGGCATGAATCTTCAAGGCAGATTAGTGCTTATCGATGGCGCACCTGAGCAAGTGAAAGCATTAGTAAATAATTATTTATCTTTTAATACGTTTAGTGAACTCGAAAATAATATTCTTTTGAATATAATGGATACTATACAACCAGTACTTAGTGGAAAGGTATATTATATTTATAGAAATTTTCTTTGAATGAGTTATTTTTTAATAAGAGTTACTATTAATCTAATTTTTACAGCTTCTTTTGGAGTTAAATAAATATTTGGTTATATATATAATTTAATGATATAAGTTAAATATAAATGTATATATAAGTATTGATTATCTAAGTTAGTATTTATTTGTATATAAATATAATAACAAACATTACAAATAAAAATATAGAATATATATTTGGTCTAAGAGAGATTAATATGAATAAATAATTAAAATTGTGTTTTTTTCTAAAACCGAAGCAATGTTCTGTATTTTTATAATTATATATTCTTATATGTATATTAAGCAGAGTTGGGCAAAAATGTAATGTAATTAATAATTACAAATTATAATTACAATATAGTATCTAATGCAATTAATAATTTTATAATCGTTAATTATTGCAAACGATTAAATGAGATAATTACGAAAAGTTGTGTACAAATTACAATGTACGTAATTGTTAATTGTTAATTGATTAAATGTAATTATAATTGTAATTGTAATTGTAATTAAAATAAGAGCGACTAAGAATACTTCTTCTAAAGGCACGTATGATTAATACCTTGACTAGGGATGGGATCAGGTTCAATACATATTCATAAATTTCAGTTTATTTCAGTAACTAGATTTTATTCTACTGAAATGAGTAGTTTATAAAAAACATATGTACTAAATGTAATTATAAAAATCTTCATAGAATTATGAATGAGACAAATTACGAACAATGAACAATTACAATAACGAATGATATTAAAAGGTACTAGTATCAAAATGTAATTGAAAGTGATGAAATATACCCGAATCTTTTATAAGTATACTTCGAAACATAATAAGACTGAATAAGTTGTGTAAATAAACCCTCAAATATTATAAAGAGAAAGTTCTGTTTCCGTAGATTAAAATGTAATCGCAATTACTTATAATTGCAATTACCATGTAATTACGATTACATTATAATTACAATGTACAATTATATTATAATTATAAGTAATTATAATTACAAGTAATTGTGATTACATTGTAATTACAATTACATTGTAATTGCATTATTTTAATTAAATTATTTAATCAAATACATTAAAATTGGTTAACGCCAAACTGATATTAAGTACACTTAAACTGATTTATAGTTACAATGCTTATTATATCTAAATTTTTAGAGTTGTATTGTTGTGAAATCATGCATATACCAAGATCTCTTAAAGAAGGCGATAATTTTTATTCTTTAAGAATTTGTACATGTACTTTAAATTAAACTTGTCAAATTAATTAAAAATTATTGTTTAGTATTATTATTATAGATAATTTATTGAGCATGATATACCCCCTGTAGTCGTATGTATATAGCATTGGCAGATAAAAAGTATAACAATTTGAGCAACCCTTCAACCACCCCTCTTGCCCCTCCACCGGATTGTGTATAAACTCGCATTTCGCATATAAAAGCATTTGGAATATGAAAGAAACGAAATAATCAGTAACTGTCAATGACTACCTTTTTTCGTATTTCCATTCATGCATCGTTATTTTACGCTATTTCCTTTCATCCTCGCAACATACACTTTGATATCTCTTTCCGTAGATTAAAATGTAATCGCAATTACTTATAATTGCAATTAGCATGTAATTACTTATAATTGTAATTACCATATAGTTATGATTAAAAGTAATTACAATTACATTATAATTACAATTATCATGTTATTACGATTAAAAGTAATTATGATTACATTATAATTACAATGTATAATTATAATGTAATAATAAAAGGGTAGAGCGTCGCGGAGGGCGACGCACGCGATGCAGCCGGCATCCGGCGGACAGTTTAGGTGGCGCTTGAGTCGCATGCACTTGTTGGTAAATCCCAACATAATGTATTTGATTAAATAATTTAATTAAAATAATGCAATTACAATGTAATTGTAATTACAATGTAATCACAATTACTTGTAATTATAATTACTTATAATTATAATTACATTATAATTATACATTGTAATTATAATGTAATCGTAATTACTTTTAATCGTAATTACATGGTAATTGCAATTATAAGTAATTGCGATTACATTTTAATCTACGGAAACAGAACTTCCCGAACGTTCTTTTTATAATATTTGAGGGTTTATTTACACAACTTGTAACGATACCGTTACTAACGGCCTCGCGGGCCGATCCACCGTGCGCTTTTCGAGGCTCGGCCCTTATAGCGTCCATAAGCTCCCACACCCGTGTCGCGGTCAGTGATGCCAGAATTGAGACGCGAGCAACACGACTCCGTAATAGAGGGGATACGCACCAAGCGTGAACCGTGTACATGTAATGCGCAGAGCGCTCTGCGCATTACATGTACACGGTTCACGCTTGGTGCGTATCCCCTCTATTACGGAGTCGTGTTGCTCGCGTCTCAATTCTGGCATCACTGACCGCGACACGGGTGTGGGAGCTTATGGACGCTATAAGGGCCGAGCCTCGAAAAGCGCACGGTGGATCGGCCCGCGAGGCCGTTAGTAACGGTATCGTTACAAGTTGTGTAAATAAACCCTCAAATATTATAAAAAGAACGTTCGGGAAGTTCTGTTTCCGTAGATTAAAATGTAATCGCAATTACTTATAATTGCAATTAGCATGTAATTACTTATAATTGTAATTACCATATAGTTATGATTAAAAGTAATTACGATTACATTATAATTACAATGTATAATTATAATGTAATAATAATTATAAGTAATTATAATTACAAGTACTTGTGATTATATTGTAATTACAATTACATTGTAATTGCATTATTTTAATTAAATTATTTAATCAAATACATTAAAATTGGTTAACGCCAAACTGATATTAAGTACACTTAAACTGATTTATAGTTACAATGCTTATTATATCTAAATTTTTAGAGTTGTATTGTTGTGAAATCATGCATATACCAAGATCTCTTAAAGAAGGCGATAATTTTTATTCTTTAAGAATTTGTACATGTACTTTAAATTAAACTTGTCAAATTAATTAAAAATTATTGTTTAGTATTATTATTATAGATAATTTATTGAGCATGATATACCCCCTGTAGTCGTATGTATATAGCATTGGCAGATAAAAAGTATAACAATTTGAGCAACCCTTCAACCACCCATCCCGCCCCTCCACCGGATTGTGTATAAACTCGCATTTCGCATATAAAAGCATTTGGAATATGAAAGAAACGAAATAATCAGTAACTGTCAATGACTACCTTTTTTCGTATTTCCATTCATGCATCGTTATTTTACGCTATTTCCTTTCATCCTCGCAACATACACCACTCTGCGCAAACTCCACCCCACTCTAATATTTTATTACTCATCCATGTAGAACACCCTGTAGTCGAATCAGTATAACGGAGCGCGCTTGACGCGATGTTACTATGCAGTATACTGCGTGCAGCGTTATCCGCGTCTTTTGGGACCGTCGTTCAGATTGCGATCTTCTTACTGCAAAATTCCAATATCTCCAGAGTGCTCGCATCCATGCCACCAGGTGCCGGTCAGTGACCTAGTGCGATACATTTATAAAATAGATCACTATAAATAAACAAAAATCTGTACGAAATAGTAATAAATATTTTATTACATAAAGAAATGCATATTTTATGCATAATTTTGCATAAAGCTACAATGTGCTCAGTTATATGTTTAGAATGGCTTTCAAAAGACTACTTTTAGATTTACCTTTTTAATTTAATTAAAATCTTTTGTATTTATATATTTTATACAACTCGCGTTGATGTTATTTGAAATATTAGTATGCTGCAAAGTTTTTTATTTTATTGGTCTTATTAAAGAAATTAATTCCTCTTTTGATATGTTTATTCTGTTCCTTATAAATTATGCTGAAATTATTACACGCATACGAATTTATTTCACGTGTAACACACATATATTTTTAATTTATATCGCTGGTGTTTTGCGGGATAAATTTTCATATTCGCGTATATACATATATAAAAAGCGTGTGTGAATCAGGCAGCGAGCAGATCGCGTATGCGTGGTTCCACGTGCTCGATCGATTCGATGTGAGCTTTTTTTCACATCGTGACACTACACGTGCGCGTAAAAATACAAGCAACGTGCCGCGCGTTTCGTGATCTCATTTCCGCACGGGGGTGTATTCTTCCGGTGACCTCTTGTTGTCAATGATGTCACCGATTCCGCATAAGTTGAAATCGAGCAAATTGCCAACTAGGCGCCAGTCTGTGAGACAGCTTAAGTAATTCAACGCTCTCATGTAGGTGTGCGTTCTAGCAGGTAATCAATATTATTATCGGCACATGCTTGTGGAAGTAAGTACGGACGCGGTACTACTATCCTGATTACGGTATATAAGAGAGTGCCATTGTAGTTTTGCGATGAGATTTATTACAATTTTTTTATTAATATCTTGTAATATTTAAATAAAATTTGCATATCGATGTTATCGACGGAAGAAAATAGATTTTTCTTAAAACACGAGTTATATCAAGAATATAGTGATTTGATACGTGTAAATATCGCGGAGAAGTCGCGACGTAATTTTACTCGTTCTTCGTAAATTCACAGAAAAATCAATGAGAATGCAATGGAATGAGTAACGCGGTATACGGGAATTAATAGCGATCAATTCAACTCATTCTCACCATAGGAGCTCCGTTTTCTATCGATTTAACACTACCGTCACGTACTAAAAATACCTGAGATATACCGCGTGACTATAAACTCTGCGTACGTACGGTATGATTGAATACAGTTCAGTTACGGAAAAAAAGTATGCATTCGTGTTTATATACGATACATTGTGTATAGTATATGTGCACATGTTCACGTGAAAAAAAAGCTATATATCGGAATTATTATATTCTCTTTCGATAATTGTGACGAATTTTTCGAAATAAAGACAAATTACTCGTCCTTGCAGACACAAAGTTGCAGAATTACTCGAGCAGTCAGGATGCGCGTAACTTTACAACAATATTTCCACGCACCGGAAAGTCAAACGAACCGTGAAACCAGGTCGTCGTAACAACGCAAAAAAAATACGCGTGAAGAATAGATCATGGATGTGTTCCACGTAGTGTCATAATTGATCGACAGTTTCAGCGATGATCGGTTGCAAAAATTATCCAACGCAGAATCAATTTTATACTGAAGCTCGTGTCGCTTGCTAAGATATATGAGGTGGATTTTTTTCTCGTACAATTAACGTAAAACTTTAGCTTAAGAGGACATTACCCTCTAATTATTAAAATGCTTAAAATAACATAATAAACACAGTGATAGCTATTATATTTCTCGTCCGTAGTCGCAACGAAAATAGTTTTGCTCACGCATTTAAATAGATTGTACAACTTTCATGGGCTTTGGTCACGTGATCGCGTGATAGAGAATTTATTCCTATGTTGTATCCCTTGTCTTTATTATCGCATCTATTATGATCGGGCTCATCTTTAGCCTTATCGTGACATCGTCAATAAGTCGCATGATGTTCGGTCGTTGGCCTCATCGACTAGGTACCTCGTGGAAAAGTCTCTACGTATATACACTCATGTTCTGTTTCCTTCGCAGAATCTTTACCGAAGTTTCCATTGACAGAACATGAAACTCTCGAATTTTAAATTTATGACAATTATTAATACTTATCATAATCGTTACACAACATTAAAAAGATTCATATCCTACAATATATTAAAAAATTACGGCAGTAATTTGAGATATTATATACATATGTATAATATCTTAAAATTTGTGTGGGCATATGTATTGCATTTTATGTTTAAAACTTCAAAGCACAGAGAGATGGGAAATAAAATTAAATGAAATATTCTTTTGTAATTTCAATAATAAATTTTTTCTTATGCATCCATTAGCCATATTTTTATCAGACTTTATACAAACGCAATAAAGATAAACATATATAAATAAAATCAATGCTCGTGTACAGAAGACGAGATTATTCTGATCGAACATCTACCAGGACGGCGGGTGCATCTGCAAGACTTCTTCTGGACCGGTCTGGAAGATGCGCCGCCATGGGTAGATCCCAATCAGGGCTTAACGTTTTACGAGACAAAGACGATCGTTCATACTGTCACAGTTTACACTCCGAGTGACGAGAAAAGCCCATCAGACCCTATATCGCCTCATCGTCCAGACACTTACAATCCGGAATGTATCACATGCATAGAACCGACACCTAGATTAGACGATGATGATCAAAGCATCGGAGTCCTTATCGGAGATGATCCAGGTCAAAGGTAACTGCAACTAATTAATGTTATATAAAATAATATACATTAAATGTTTTTTTTTTTTTTTTAAGTTAAAGTATTACGACATAAGAAACAGAAAAGTGACAGAAAAAATATTTTAATAAATAAACCGATATAATACGTTTGTAAAATTAATCTAACATAAATATTAATAAGATAAATATCATTTATAATGTAAGGATAACAAAAAATATAATTAAATATTTACATTAATAGATACTGGCTATTGACGGTTCTTCGACCAGGTGAAGCCGTACCGCCCAAAGTCGAGCTTCGTTTAGCTCGCTTGTATCGAACCGCGTTTTCCAGACAACAACAACGTCACCTTGGTCTACTGTCAACGGATCCACGATCGCGAAGAGACGCATTATTACGTGGATTAATTGACCGAAAGGTAAAATGTGCGCATTTAGATGTTAATTTCGTTCAAGATTCTTATTCTTCTCGATACGCGCAGGTTATACCGGAACATTTTGAAACTTTATCTCGAGTAAAAGTTCGTCAAGAAGAGATTTCCGTCAGTGCAACCAAAGCTCAATCGTCCGAATTAACCGTCGGGACCGTCGAGAGCTCATCAATTCACGAAGAAACCGAAGCGAGCGTTTCAAATATAACCGACGATAACAAATTGTATTTTCCAAACGTTTCCCAAATCAAGTCCATGAGAATGATCGAAATTCCCAGGCCGAAGACGAAGTTGCTGCCGACATTCGATGTCGACGCAACGGACGATCGCGAGAAACCTACGAAAGAAGATTTTGCTCTGAAAAAAATCATCAAAACATTAAAGGGAGATATAAGATTTTTACCTTCGGATGACGAACCTACAACTATCAATCCAACTTATATCGATGAAACTAATAATTCCAATGAGCAAATCCCGCGGGAATCGATACCGTCTATAAATTTGAAGTCTGATTCAAAGTCCAATACCGATTTTGTCTCCAACCGATCGAGCGACGACGAGAGTGCAGGTATGCGCTCGAGATTGCGTTTAGCAGATGGCTCGATTCCGGGAATCGTAAAGGTCAGAATGCAGAATACGAGCGTTATTGAAGGAGGTGCGATGAGATTGATCTATTCGGTTCACCTCGATGATAAGCCTGTTCCCGCTGAAACGGCCGCGAGGGACATGGCGCTTCTCTCGCCTCAGGAGGTCGCCTTGGAACTTGGCGCACCGGTGATTATTCAAAGCGAGCGTGAGTAAATAATAGCTTTTACTAGACAGAACTTCACAAAAAAAACATGAGGATTAGAAATTACTTTATATTCGTAGCTTATTTGAAGGAGAGTCGACCTCTGGCTCTATCAAGAAAAAGGGACGCCTGGCTGCTGCTGATCGGTGCAGCTAGCGCGGGTGTCATTCTTCTAATCTTGGTTCTCACCGGTTTGATCTTGGCCGCCAAAAAAAAGAGAGCACATAGTGCCGCCGTTGCGCCGCCGAATAGAAGTATCCTTAAGAAGGAACGCGAATATGCAGCCACGACACCTGGTCTCGATAACGCTGCATTTTCAACGTCGGAAACCGAAATTAAGGTACTCAATACGATTTTTTTTTTTTATATATATATCAAAATAAAAAAGAAATTATTTTCTACATTAAGTGTATCAATCTTTATGTATATATTTTAAACATTAGTTTAAATTTGTATTGTATGGAAAATATTTAATAAAAACGATGAATATATATCTGCTAAATTATATCGTGCAAAAGTGTCTCATAAAGATACAAGAAAGAGAATATTTAATAATTTTTAAAATTCTTATCTCACGTACTAAAGATTATGGGGTACCATAAGGAAATAAGCCTGAAATTGTTAAAATCATTACGGCACGCGAACAATCAACAAACGACGTGAGAAATTGCGAAACGAAAGATAATTTGGTTCCTCGATGTCAGGGACGATATTGATTCTAACAGAAATATTACTCCCTTCCCTGTCGAGTAAATTGTTACGCTTTGAATCGCATATCATCGCCTTTATGCAGCTCTCCCTTGTTCGCAGACGGACGGTACCAGTCAGCGACAAACTCCGCGAACTTTATCCAGAACTCCGATAACCCCCGACACGCCCGATAGTCTAGAATTGGGCATTCACGAAGTTTCCAGCGACGACGACGAGGAACCGAAAAAGATTCGCGGTTCGACCCCTTGGGATATTCAAGAACATCCAGTTAAGAAAGCAAGGTAGTCAACAAAGTTCCTGACAACTAATATTTACAGAAAAATTAATAATAATTTTATTAATATTCCATTAATTTTAATTTATAATAAAAATGTATCTTATACATGTATGCATATATATATATATATATATACATATATGTATATGATTATATTTCATTAGTAAGTATAGTAAAAGTAATTGTATAATCATGCAGTCCAGTAGCAACACCAACGACGGAGATAAAAACACGACCACGTACATCGTTACCACGCAGAGATCTCGACGAGGATATTCCGGAGACAGGCCAGGCTGAACAAATTCATTCACGCAATGCCTGGGGTTCAAGGCCACTTAGCGCAGGTCCGTTCCACAGACCGAACTTACCGGAAGTGGATACTAGGCGTATATTGGCGGACAGCAGACTTCCACCGGAAGATCCTGCGGTACCCTTGATTGCGTCGATCAAGAAAGAACTCGAAAAGTTTTCGCCTTAATAGAGCGCATAAATATAAATAGGGGTTGCGATAAATATTCTCGATTAAATACTCTCACAAAGTGATATATCAATCTTAAGAATTAAAAAACGATGTATATATTTGATAAACTTTTACCAAAAAATTTTGTAACTCGACATCGAACTTTTTCACTATAATGTAAAATGAAATCATTTCACATATGTCATAATGAAAGCGCTATCATTTCGCAGAAGACAGATCATTCCATAGTTTCAACGCTACATATATATATATATGTGTGTGTGTGTGTGTGTAGAATATATTTATAACCTTTATACAAGCATAAATAATTAGTTTGATTTATATATGATTTAAAAAATTACGAAAGATATTAATTGCAAGATTAACTATCTTGTAACTCCAATCCGTCCAACATATTTAGAGAAACATATTTATAACTGAAATACAAAATAAACTTATATAATATGTATAACTCGTGTGATTATTTAATTAAATTTATTCTATATACATATATATACAAAATAATCACATATATAAAATTAATTTCATCAGAATAGCAAACATATGTGTGTATGTGTGTCTTCACGAGTTGCGTCTTCAGGCAACTTTTACTACTTCCACAAAACGATCGTTATTACAAAAATCTTTGTATGTATGTTCGTGATGGAGCTTGAAGACAGGATATTTATTTGTGAAAAATTGTATATATTCGGGATGAGTAGAATCAACTTCCAGAAAGAGACGTCCGCCAGGTTTTAATACTCTGGCGGTGTATTTTAAAAGCGGCTTGATTACTTTTAGTCCATCGTCGCCGCCATCCAATGCCCTGAGATCCTCATAACTGCGTATAATATAAATGACATTATAAATTATTTATAACTACTAAAAAATTTGCAATTATACTTTGTATATTACATCCTTATCTCGGGTTGCAGTTTTGGTATGTTTTTCGTCGGCACGTAAGGCGGGTTACTGATTACGAAATCGAACGATCTTGAATTCAGATCCACATCACTGGCACCATTCAATTTCTTGGAAACTTCAACAGTTGCGTCCGATTTTAAAGTTGCGTGTATCACTGTGATTCGATTCGTCAAGTTTAATTCGTCCCGATTAGTCATGGTTAAATTGCACGCATGAGGACTTGCATCAATCGCTGTGCATTTGATCTGGAAAAAATATACATTATATATACATATCACATCATATATACATCAAATTCTGTTAATTATTGATTGATTTAGCAATGTAAAATACGTAAAGTATCACGATAACGTCATAGCACGTTATGTACACCTTTTTACAAGCGTGAGCGAGAGCCAATGATATTGCACCTGAGCCGCAACCGATTTCCAGGATTTCGCAACTATCGAGTCGCGACGAACTCAGTCTCTTCAATGCAAAGTCTACCAATATTTCCGTCTCCGGACGAGGAATGAAAATTGGTGGCACGAGTTTCACGGTGATGTCCCGAAAATCCCACTCGCCGATAATATACTGAACTGGCATTCTGCAAGGACTCGGCGTTGATGAGCGAGCGCGGACGACTTCGCAAAGTAGGGTCCAATATATATATATATATATACATAGATCATAATGGGCTCTTTTAAGGACCTCTTACCTCGATAACCGACATTCGCACAACGACTCCAATTTTTCGATCTGGCTGGCATTGAGTCGATCATTCCTGACGTTCAAAATATCTATTATCTGTAAATATAATAATAAGAGAAAATTAGAAAAATTGTCTAACAAAATCTAAAAATGCACTTTATTAAAGAGAAAGAATTAAATTTCAGTATTAATTTTTTTTAAAGCAGTGAATATATTTAGGAAATATAACAGTCATAAAATTCAATAATATTAATTCTTAGTCATAAAATTCGCGCCAAAATGCTGCTCCAATAATTTCAAGCGAAAAATATAACAGTAGAACGCGCACGCGTTGAACAAAATACGTACGTAAAACTAATTATCAATCAATTTCACATTGAAAAAAATAGCGATATCACCTTCTTGGTTCCTATAACATGCGCCACTATGTGCTCTATCGACTCTACCGGCTCCGTTATGCCCTCGGTCTCAAATCGGCGACTCCATTGATCAATAACATCGCCGACGGTACATTCACACGCATTCGAACTAAACGACCGTCGCACTGGATGTCTCAACGTGACAAAGTTGAGACTGTTAATCGACAAATATTGCACATAGGTAGATATGGACGGATTACTGAAGACAGTACGCGTCTTCACAATACTCCGACACCACATGATGTTTCTATTAGACGCTGCAAAAGCTGTAAAATACACATTTAAGATGTTAGCAGATGTCACTGTGTTATGCCACGAGCTGATAGACCATGTTAGAGATTCATCGGAAATTATACACGTGTTTTAAGTTTTGTTATGTACAGAAACTGCTGCCAGCTAGCGAGACAAAGATCAGTTGAACGTTTATCGACTATACAAGACGAAGTAATATCACACAATAGTACACAAAGGATAAGACAATGTATAAAAAATCAGTACAAGGTGTTCCAAATATAGATAATAATACAACAGAATTATATTTTATACATATACGCAGTATAGACGTAAAATAATATTTTTCAAAAATAACATTATCAACAGAATAGCTTTATACGTTCCGACAAAAACTGTTATGTTATTAGTTTTTTGTTGTTTTTTTTTTTTACAATGTATAAAAAATCAGTACAAGGTGCTCCAAATATAGAGAATAATACAACAGAATTATATTTTATACATATACGCAGTATAGACGTAAAATAATATTTTTCAAAAATAACATTATCAACAGAATAGCTTTATACGTTCCGACAAAAACTGTTATGTTATTAGTTTTTTGTTTTTTTTTTTTTTTAGAAAATGCACTATACAATTAAGCTACTAATTACTTAATTCTTTCATCGATTTTATATATTTAATTATTATCAAGTCACATTGTTATACTGTATCCATCGAAGCACATTGAGGTATCAATTGCTTATTCTTTCCTTCCATCAGAACTCATGTCTATCTGATTTTCCAACCGACTGATGGTGAAATCACTTCCTTTTCTCAGAAAACGGCCAGAGACGAAGTCAAAGACCTGGTCTGCTTTAGAAGATGCCGCTAAAGCCGTGCTCGGCCAGCGGATCGAAAGGTCTAAAGACCGCGCACGCATGCGCGGATACGAGAGTATAGCTGTCTGGAAAATGATGGTGCTGGCTAAACAGACCGTTGTCTGGTCAAAGGCGCTAGCAGTCGCCACCGGCCCCGCTCCCAATCCACGCTGCCATGACAGTCCTTCTCCGTGTCGCGGTGAGTGCACCGAGTACCAACGCGTTTAAAGAGCGCCGCTGCTGAACACTCGGCTGATGCACTTATCGGCGTTGCACTGCGAGAAGGTCGACCGAGATCCAATCTTGGCTTGTGGTTCGTTAAAGTGCTGGAGTTGCGGCGAACCAGCTCTCGCGCGGGTCGATCAGGTCGACCAGGCGAGGCCGTCCTGGGTGTGCTGATCATCACTATCATCATCAGCGGGAGTCTCGCGAAGCGCGAGCGTGCGTCGTGGATATCCGTGTGTGAAGTGGCGGTGGGGTTGTTGATGTAATGCGTGTCCCGGAATCCCGCACGCATGCATGCACGCACGTCTGGCTCGCTGTCAGTTTCGGAACAATAAATACTAGTCCGTGTCAAGATACAACGGGCAGCCACGCTTCTCCTAGATTTGGACGATCGATGCGCCTCGTCGAACCCCGTAGGTAGGTAGGACGCCTTCTCCGAGACTAGGACCTACCTACCTCTTGAGCGTAAAATAAAAACGCCGCACGCGCTTTTCGTAGCAAAGCGTAAAGTGCAGCGAGCATCGATCGCTGCAAGATATTTCGAATAACTCGTTGGAAAGGTCGCATGACTTGAGAAATTCGCCGGTATTCGCGTGTAGTTTCTATCGAAAAAAAATTCGAGGCTTTTAATAAAATCCTGCTAAATTTCTACAGAGCTTTCAGGATTCAAAGCTTATTGAGATTCAGATTTTTTTCTAGCGGTTCATTGAATAAATCTAAAACCCTTTCCTTATACAAAATAATTGTCTGATAATAGTAAAACTTTTATTGTTCTTTATTCATTCCTTTTGCAGCGTACTCGAATCGGAGTGAATCGATGCGTTGATCGCGATCGCGAGATTTTCGGAGCAGTCCGCGTGCTCCGAAAAATACGCCGGCAACGAGCGCGCTGTACACGAATCAGTGTACGAATGATCGATCGATACGTCCGTGGATTCGCCGGCGTAGACCAACGGGATTTTCCGAGCCGCCCTTGAACGAAGAATATGGAATAAGGTGTGGTGGAAAACGAGCCTGCCGTTTACACCCCGCGGAGCGAATAACGCCGGTGTTGCGAACGTCACACGCGATAATAAAGAATATTACGTGCATAGATATTTATTTTATTGCCAACGTGTCGTACGCATTTCCATGTGGATAGTTTAATGATGTAAGATCGTTTGCATAATGCACACTTCCGCATGTTTCGATTACATTTAAATTATCTTCTCTTCTGGTACACGTACGAGAAAGTGTGTATAAGAACATATAATTAAAATGTGACTGGAATGTATGTCTTTACGTTAGTAATAGTTAATTGTCACCTTTCTAATTTTCTACGCTCTCGTAGGTTTCAGGATCCAGTTATGACTTCTTAATCGCTTTCCGCGAGGTCATGCAAATGTGAATGATGGGAATATGAAGGCTCACTCGATGCATCGCATTCTACGTAATATCTATCATATATGAGAAAAAATGCAGCCTTTTCTAATTGAATCGCAATTAGATAACTAATTATTCAATTTTATTTCTAATACGCAATAACGAACGCGCACGTCGATAATCGCCGAGGTAATTGGTCGGATAATGCACTATTCGACAACTTTCTTATTTCGCTGACTCTGCGACAACAAAAACGTGAACAGTGCGTATTAGCGGGTTTCGCGAGCAATAAAAAGAGAAAGAAAGAGAGAAAAAGCCTCCTTTGCACCAAACAACGATTGCGTTATCGCCGCTTCTCCCGCCGGTGTGTTAACGAACGAGAGAGTTCGCCGCCGCCCCGTTTCCGCATACCTCGCAGTCTCGAATGCTAGAAGCATCCAGTCATGAAGAAGCAGTTTGGTTCACACCCTTGCGTACATTCGGGCGATCTTCGGTCGAGAGACCGGTACGCATTAATTATATCAAGGGAATACGATGTCGATGACAGAGAGAGGCTTTATATTCGTACCAAGTGCATCACTGAAACTTGCACCGCGTGAATCTTTAATCTTGATCGCGCGAATCACCGTTCAAAAATGCAATGATTTTTGTAAATGACGAGTTTTCTCCGATGAATTCCAGGTGACGATCCTGAGAGTAACTCGATGAACGTCGCGCCATTGCCGGTCGATAGGGTGCACCGATACGCTTCGGAGCGAGCCGGAGCGTTGGTGGAAGCTTTCTCGGATGCAGGACCGAGCTTATCGCGGAACGAATCGTGACAAACGGCCGCTTCTTTTCGGATCATTGTAAGTGTCGGGCATCGCGGCAGCGGTGACGAGGCGATGTTCGCGATTTGACGCGCCACGTACGGCCAATAACGTCGATAGCTCAATCGCGAATCACGACTCACGATACACGTTCGCCGGTTGTTTCCACGGACGGTACTGTGATCACACACATATACACACACTGTGATATATACGTAATACATACATGTATATATGCTACGAGGTGCGAGAAATCGAGACTGTCCGCGATTGCGTCGCGTAAGGTCGCACGTCAAGCACGTTCAAGCAATCGAGAAACGAGATATCTCGTATGTTATCTCTTTCTCGCGTTCGGTTTGGGGACGTTTAACGAGTGAGGAAGATGTTTAACTTTATGAAGAAGACCGCGGAGAAAGACGACAAGGAGAAGCGGAAGCGCGAGAAGAAGGAACGGAAGGATGTCAAGAAACGCGATCGCAGCAGCATGTCCGCGGAGGAGCTCCTGCGATTGGACGAGGTGAGAACATTGTTCTTGCCAAGGAACAACCTGCTTTTAATATTGTCCATAGTCTTATCTATCGTACGCGTATGTATAACAATTAAGTCTTAATAACGGTACGTTTCGCCGGTGACTTGGTTTTCATATTGAACTTGCGATGTATACTCGTTTGGTTATCGCATCTTCCAATAATAAAGTGGGTGTATACTGATATTGCACGTGGATTTACGCGAGTTGCACAAAGATATTGATATCTTGTTCGAGTTTTTTATCGCCGTAAACGAGTTGTCGATACCGAGAGGCAGTAAGGTTTTTCGCGAGCTTTCCTCAGATTAATGTAATTAATAACCTGCGTATTTAAATTAACGCAATAAATATATTATATATCGCTTTTTAAAGAAATGAATTTATTATAAAGATAGTAATATTATTCGTGAGAAATTTTTTAAATTAGAATATATACAAGACTATTGGCGCAGAAAAGATTTTGTTTTGAAAAACTTTCGTTCTTTTCTGTAGACTCAGTTTTGTCGCCGGTTGGATGTGGTTTCACGCGATAAAAAGTATCGGTCGCGAAGTACGCATTCGTTACACGAAGTGAAAATTGCAAAATTATTCTGCGATATGAAGAACGCGTCGTCGCAATCGCATCATACGACAAAAAATAAGAAAGGTCTCTTGAGAAAAATCGTAAGACACCATCCATGATCAATGTTCTCGGAGCTGATTATCCGGAAAAATTCTCTATAAAAACGTTTCTTACTTGCCACGAATTTCGTTACAGGTCCGTAGATCACTGAAGATTCCCGGTCGCCGGAAGGAGAAAGAGAAGCTACCGAGCGGTATCACAGCGGATTACAGCGCGTCGTTTTTCGCGCATCTGGACCGCGATCTTTTGGACGCCACGCAGAATGCAGACTCGGGTCCAGGCTCGACGATCAGCGCCGGTACCAGTAGTTGGTCTAGCGTGAGAACACCCGACGGTTTGATGCAGAGCGACTCGTCGGAAGCGTCTCTCACCTCACTAACGATGACCACAACCACATCGTCGACGACGATGAGTCATGCGGGTGGCAAGAATTTGCCGCCATTGCCGCCGAAGCCGCCCAAGCGAGGGATCCTCAAGGGGCCTCGATTGAGCATCAACAGCGGCGTCGTGAGCGTTCTTTCGGAGGAGAACGCGTTGCCGAACGGCACCGAGACGAGTTACCAGGAAGCCAGCAATCTGCTAGTGAGGAACACCCTTCAGAATGAGGTGATAGCCTATCAAAATGTGCCGACGCATTTCAACAGCGTCCTGAACAAAGACGAGGCCTGCAGCGAGGAGGAGACGGTGTGTCAGACCACGTGGCGCGTGGCCTCTACGCCGCAACAGACCGTTCAGCAACAGCAGCAGCATCATCAAATCGACGCCAAACTGTTGCAGGTTAGATAACATTTCGCTTTCTCTTTCCGATTCGCGCGTTACAGCTGCAATGTGAAACTCGATTATTACAGTTATTTTCAAATAATAAGACACTGATGACGGGTCTGTTCATAATTTGACGTAAACAGACGATGGTAAAAAAGTTCCTTCGAAATAACGAGCAAAAGCGAATTGTGCCTTTCATAATTTACACTTTGCGTATGATCATCAAAATATTCTTTCTTTTTTGCGATATAACACACAGAATTATTTTAATTAAATATCTGTATCGTGAATTTTTATCACGTATTATAATTTCAAACTTGGATAACTTTCAATAATCGTTATTTTAATTTTCTCTGACAAATAAATTTATCATTGACATTTTATGATTTCAGACTTTGCTTTGTGATGTTTTCATTTCCAGTGACTGTTTAAATCAAGTTATTTTTAATCATGTAATAAAACATCTTCTCGATATATTTAGGTTGTCACTAGTGCTAGTCCATCCGCGGATTCCTTGACGGACACGACAAACTCGAGTTTTGCCACGCCGCCATTTAGCCTGTCGCCCGTCGGCGAGTCCCAGGGTTTCTCGAGGTGGCGCTCGTCTGTCTCTTTCGAGGAGCAGGGGATCGAGCTGCAGCTGCCAGAGCTCGTGCCGCTCGAGTTACCCGAACCAAGGGAACTCACCATTCAGAGGCAGCCACCGCCGCGAAACGATTTCGGCTTTTCCCTTCGTCGCGCGGTGATCGTCGAACGTGCGGCAAACGGCGTTACGCAGATGAGACCGGTAATCTTCGCCGAACCCGGCGCTCTGGTCCAGCATAACAATGACACGGGTCTATTGCCCGGTGACAGGCTGATCGAGGTCAATGGGATTAACGTCGACGACAAATCCCGCGAGGAGATTATCGATCTCATCAAGAGCTCCGCCAGCAGCGTCACTGTGAAGGTAATTCTCACTTTAGCGTAATTTAGCTCGTATAATAATTGCACATTTCATCATTTTGAAATAATAATTTTATATGTTTAAAAATATTATGTGTGTTACAAAACGTTTGGATCAATATACTAAAACAAAAAAAAAAAAAAAAAAGAAACAAAAAAATCAATATAATGTATTTTGCAGAGCAATATCTTTTTTCTTTCATGTAAGATTATTTGGGATGACGCGGGATGCACAGATAGAGATTTTTTATCTACCTAGAGAAAGACTTCTATTTGTGTTAGATTTGTTACGAAGGCGTCTCAGAGTCAAACGATGAGAATGCTCGGAGCGTACCTTAGACATTGCGTAAGCGATAGTACTCTCTATACCTCATCCTTTTCTCTTCTATAAACCGTACCGGTCGCGTCGAATAATATCGATTTCTCGTACCCTGTAAACGAACCTTTCTCTTCCCAAACGTGCAGCAACGAAGCTTATTAACATAAGCGCGATTTAAAATTTCATATTTACCGGAAGGTAATCATTCAAACGGTCCGTGTGGTGTGACGACACCATGCTGCAACGACCTTATGTTTAATTATCAACCGGTAACGATAACTATTAGCTTATCGTTCGCTTATCTCTCATTATCGCGATCGTCGTGACTGGCCTTGGATTTTCTTAAGACATTGCTTGGAAAACGCGTGTGGATGTCGTTCGGTATCGCACAGCAAAATCAATACCGAACGTGGTGAAAGGTACCGAGGAATCCTTAAGTCATAGAAAGGGGTCGGTCGAGTGCCGTTTTGTAGACCTTTGATATGTAGCGACGAAACGCATTGCGTTCTATTAAATGACATCAACTCTGACGCGATATTTCATTTCAATTTATAATTACATTTTGATTTTAATCAGAGAATATGAGACAGCTGAATATTTTTTTACTCAATAAAACATTTTAATTTTTTAAATAATTTTATCAATTTTTTATTAAAAGTGAAAAAAATCCATATTTTTACATCTCACAATAAATGATATTAGTATGAAAGAGAGAGAGAGAGAGAGAGAGAGAGAGAGAGAGAAAACTACATCAGTTTCATTGATGCTCGCTGCATTGTGTCGTTAAAAGTGAGTGAATGCGCAAAACGGATGAGCGTCTAGTAGGACCGGTGATTGTCGTGCCATGTCGGCTGGTTCATTGCCACTGCTAGCAACGAATATAGTGGGATAGTGAGTCACTGTCCCGCTAATAAAACTATACTCAAAGGGGGAAGCGATACTGTCGTGTGAAAATAGCAGCCTTACCGAGAATCCGATCTTCTCTTTTGTTGTCACCGCCGGGCCAAAAATCTATCTTGACGGCACGCGTCTCATAAAGAGAAGTCAAATGGTGAGTCCGCTCGAATCTGCAAAACGAAAAGGTATAAGGGGGCGGCGTGGTGTATTTAACCTTGTCTTGTAGTCGCGTGGAATTCTAAAAATGCCGCCGCATTCCAGCGGCAGAAACAAAATGTGTGCAATTCCGCTATGTGTTGTCCGTTTGCACCGTTCTCCCTTTCACTGCGCGTCACACGCGCAGAATGTAATCTCCGGGGTGGATTGTACGGTTATTTCAGAGATTTTGTGCATCAACGCGCAATCGGGCAACGTCGAAGGATCGATATACGCGCGTCTCCGTACCGCATCATCGTAAATGCATTCCTTTCTAGAAAACAATGTGCAGCAGCGAAGGTGGAAGTAGTCATGATGATAGAAAAATAGACGATAATGATGATCAGGTTTATTTGTCCAAAACTCACAAAGAACTTGAGAATTTCTCAACTCAAACACATAGATACCCGAAAATGCTAGGCATGTAAGAGGATGAGTAAAAGAGAAAGGAAATAAGCGTTAGAACGAGAGCGATAGACGCAGAGGGGGAAAAACCGGATGTAATTCGCTCACAAGCTGAGCGTGTTATGTGCTGCATACAGGGTGTGTCAGAACTTGCATATTTTTCGCTAGAGATTCTTCAACAAGATTTAGAATCTTTTGCAATTTTTAATTCTTGTCACACATGCACACAAAATATCTTTCTGAATAAGCTAATGCTCTCAAAATTGCCGTCATATTCGTGGTACATTAGAGCGTGTGTGCGTTTTTATCTACTTCAACTCGCAATTTCCATCTGTCATCGCTGGAATTGAATGGCTACCGAATGGTAAACGGTAAATATTGGAGAAGGCTATATCTATTGTGTGTTGCAAGTCTCTCAATATATGTACGTGAGAGATCCGGTCCTCGTGTTCTCTTTTTCTCTTTC